CCTGCTGAAGCTTCCCCAAAAATCTACTGACGAGGTGCAGGGAAGTTAATTCTCACTTCACTAAACATGGCATCAGTGCAAAAAATGGCAAAAACAATGACAAAAAAAAGAACAGTATGGATTGGTCCAGATGAGGATAACATCATCCCATCAAATTAGCACCACTGAGTGAGGACTCATTAAGAAACATGGGAACTCATGAGAGTTTTCAGCATTACCAGGAACAATAACTCTTTATGCACAGCAGAAGAGCTTAAATTTGAAGCCTCCCATCTTTAACAAGAAAAGCACTTTTAAAAGAAAAGCTAGATTAAGAGCCAGAAAATAGGTAAGAGCTAGAGCTAGCTGCTTCACCCCTAAAAAATAGGACCCTCCATCTTTTCAGTTCTTTACAACAACACATCAGGACATAGTTTAAACTTTTTAAGAAGGCCTATCCTCAAGGAAAGGACAGAAAATTATTCAAGACAGAAATAAATTAACCAGGTATTTTATTCCTACTTGTAACTTAAGCAGCAAGTATGTGTCACAAACTCTTCAGACTTCATCAACAGGAGATTTGTTACCTGCACACCAGTGCGGCACCTTTCAAGAGGGCACGGGACCGATTCTCGAGAGCCTGCCACCGGGCACAGTCCCTCACAGCCATCCACGTGGGTATATAGGTTTGCCTTTATATGCAAAGGGCAGAGCGCATCCCATCAACTGCTCTCTATTAACGAAGCAAGAAGAGAGAGTCATGCATGCTTTCTGCTGTGTTTGAAAACAGTATTTCCACAAGGGCGGTTCAGGGCTCCCAGGTGCAGAGCGGGACTGCGATGGGCACCCCTGGGCTGCGCGGGCTGGAGCAGGGAGGCACGGCGGGGAGAAGAGGCAGCGCCGGGGTCTTTACGCAGGCGGCTCCTCTGGGCGTCTGCTTCACAATGCACCGCAGGAGACTGTCATCAGGATTAGTGGAGCTGGGATAATGGAGAATCTGAGAGCATTTCAGAGCAATAAAAAATAGAAACAGAAAGTCCCCTCATTTATATGAAATGACCAACTTGTTTTCTTTTAATGGCAGATTGAGTTAGAAATGTTGCAGGCTTTGATGTACAGCAACTACATTAGTGGCTTTTTTACATCAAGAAAAGCTTTTTTTTCTTTTTTTCTGGGTTTTTTGTCTTTTTTTTTTTTTAACTTGACCAAGAAATTCCTCTTTTTTTCTTTCAAACTACTTGTACATTCTCTTTCACCTAATGGTTAAAACATCATCCATTTTAAATGGTTTATAAAGTCTTAGAAATTGTATGTAACTATCTTTCAGATGCTAACGTGTTCATAACTTATGCAAAGAATCAATATGCTTTGTGAATTCTTACAGGGATACAGAATTACAGGTTTGAAGTTTTAATTAACTTTTAATCTACTTTAGTTTTTAATATGAAAGTAATACAGAATTTAGAATGTGAACCTGCCCTCCCCTTCCTGCACAGCTGTGTATGGATGGATACACGAAATTAATGAGGGAGGTAGGTTAGCA